TATACATCCTCAAGTACTTAAAGAACAACAAGTCTCAGTTCGGGGACGTGGTTCAATTCTTCAAAGTCCAAGAAACAACAGGGACTTAATGACAAGAACCAGATAAGGAACTTGATATACATCCTCAAGTACTTAAAGAACAACAAGTCTCAGTTCGGGGACGTGGTTCAATTCTTCAGAGTCCAAGAAATAACAGGGGGAACAGATCGACATCAGTTCCCTTGCTAACAGTACCAGTCAACTCCCCACAACTGTAAAGTGACTGCAACTGTTCCTCTGCACACACGCAACAGTGTAAACAGTGGAGTATTCAACTTTTATGGGGAATGCCTTTGTACCAAACATGCTTACATCATTCAAGTGAGGTCACTTATACAATATTAACATGAAGGAAAGGCAAAACAACACTTGCATACTTTAGAATCAATCAAGCTCTCTCTCAAGTGTATTGCCAACCTGCAAGTGACCTTCAAGGCGTCAAGAACAAAGAGTAACATAACGAAGGACCAGTCTCCAAAATTGAGTCATCACATGTCCTTAGTTGTGTTGTACCTTTGTTAAAGTTCTTTACTTGTAATTCCTACTTCGTTTAGTTAGAAGCATTGTGTGGAAAACCTTTGTAAATCATAAACCCTTGTGTTTGTGTCTTGGCTAGTTTAGTCGAGTTGGAAATCATTGTAATAGAGTCATTACAAAGTGGCTTGTAATAGAGTTGTTACAAGTTAGTGAGAGATTAAGTCTTTGTAATAGAGTTATTACAAAGTGGCTTGTAATAGAGTTGTTACAAGTTAGTGAGGGATTAAGAGGTTAATTCCTATGTTACATAGGTTGTAATCTGAAAGTTGCTCATAGTGAAGTTGAAATCCTACAAGGGTAGGTCATGATTTTTAATCCCGTTGAGCTGGGAATTTTCCACGTAAAATTCCTCTTGTCATTTACCTACTGCAGTGTGCGTGGTTTCTGTGCGAACTTATATCTGTGGGAACTTATAGAGAACCTGGTTCTCTATAGAGTTTGGTGGACCCTCAAATTCTACCAGTCGGGCTACCAAAGTGTTGTTCTCGAGCATAGACGAGGACAAGGATCGAGGCTAGATGGGCCGGTTCGTTTGAGTGAGGACTTCCGACCTAATCCCAGCCGATAAGATGCCATTTCCTGAGAAATGGAACATGAATCGTAAGTACCGTCTCACTGTTAGCTTCCATGTATTATTTGTTTCCTTTGTCTTTTCTCATTGATGTCTTTTTCCATGTTGTAGCGGTCGCTTGGATGCCCCGTGCGATTCCCGACCTCGAGAGCTGGGTTCGGAACCTGGCCTTGACCTCTACATACGCCGAGCGCTCATGGAGCGATTTAACAAAGGACAGATGGGAGGCCAAGAATCATGGTAAGCCCACTTTTTATGTATTTGATGATTTGATTAAGATGCCCTTCATCTACTTATTCAATTTTCTCGTGTACAAGCCTGGGCAAAGATGCGGTCATGAGGCCCCCGTCTGGTGAGGCGGAGACTTCGACCCCAGTTCCGAAGCCGGCGAAGGACAAGAAGAGGAATAGGACCTCAACCTCCGAGGATCCAAAGCCTGAGAAGAATCTGGTTCGTAAGCCGAAGAAAGACATTGTTGCCCTGCCTGCGGATGTGATTCAACGGCTAAGGGAGGAAGAAGAAGATGATGAAGACGATGGCTCGGAACTGGTGGCCCGAGTGAAGAAAACCATCAAGGCCCCAAAGGCCGCTGAGTCGGTGGTGGTTGAGGTGATTCTGCCTCGATCCGAGGGGGTCTTGGAAAAGGACTCGGGCAAAGTCCCCGAGTCATCGAAGATCGAAGATGCCTCCCGCTGAGATGAGCAAAAGGCGGGTATGTTTGAAGGGGCCGGCTACGAGGGCATTCATAGCGAGGTGAACGCCCCAAGTGGCTCACTTGGGGAAATAGATATTGGAGACTCGCCGATTCTCCCTGCATTTTCCGATGAGGAAATTCGTGAGGTCCAAGCTACGAGGACTCCCGAAATAGATGGGGCCCATGGAGGGGAGGACCCCTTACGTGGTTAATTTATCAGGGTCGAGGATTGTACCGACCTGAGTGAAGTATCGAGTCTCCTCGATAAGGCTCAACAAGCCTTGAATCGGGTGAGTCTCAACTCCCTTTGTTGATATCATACTTAGTTTATTTCTTCTCTTCCTGTCTAATTTTCTTTCTTTTTTCCGTATAGGCTTTGGCGCTCTATCAGGAGAGGTTTTCAAAGTCCCGAGCAGAGTTGAGCCGATGCGAGGCCGATGTAACACCCCGGAAAATTTTTGAAGTATTTAAGTGTAAAGCCCCGTAATTTTCGCAAATGAATTCAAGGTTTCATGGTGCCGGAGTAGGCTTACGTGTTTGAGGATGGTATAAGATCTTCGCGGCTAGCAAACTCGCCGCGGTTCGGACTTTTTAGGTTGAACAATGCACCGGAAAGTAAAAGAAATTTGTTTGCGGAAAAACGTGTTTATGCGGCCGCATAATCACTATACGGACCGCATAATGGCCGCAGAGTGAAGCAGTAAGTTTGGCCAACTTGAGTTCCGTTTTGCGGTCGATTATGCGACCGCATAATCGATATACGGATCGTATATCTGTCTTATAATCCCTCTTGGGTTTTTGCGGAGGGAGTTCTGCGGTGCATTATGCGACCGTAGAACGAGTATGCGGACCGCATACTGGTCGCATACCTGGGCCGAACGTTCAGGCCCCTGAGGTCCATTTCTGCTGTCACTTTGCGGACCGCATAACCATTATGCGGTCACATATGCGACCGCAGACCTGTGTCGGGACACCCATTTGTTTAATTTAAAACCCGACCCCCATTCTGTTGAAACACCCCTTTAGTCTATTTTGAAGCTCATTTATGATATTTCTAGTGTGAGAGAGAGAGGGTTCTAGAGGGAGGGCCTAATTTTCATCAATTGATCTTCAACCATCACTCAAAGCCTTGGAAATATTCAAGTAGAGCACCAAAATTCTTCACCCTAAAAGGTAAGGCTTCATCACCCCAGCTCTTAATTTCAAACATAGCTATAATTGGGTATTAGTGTGATACTTCATGGGTATGAGGGTGGTTCATCTTGCATGCATGTGATAAAGAGTGTGGGAAAAATAAAAAGTGAACTAGAACCATAAACGTTTTCCTAATTTTGGGTTCAATTTGTATATTGCTGAAATAGATTGAGGTTGCTAAGGGTTCCGGATAATTGTAGAGTCTAAAGAAGCGCGATTGAGGTATGTTGGCTAAACTTTCTCTCTTGGAATTGAATTCCATAATGTTTCTGTAAGTTTCAAAGTGCAGATTACGTATTAAAAGGTTATGGCTTGAGTCGTGTTTCAATGAAAGATAGAATTGTCTAAAAACTTTTGTCCTAAATTCATGCCCATTAGTGGCTGCTTTAACTAATGTTTTGATTTATAAATATATCTAGTGTGATTCGAGTCCTACATACTCATGTATTGAAATTGTACATTGTCATTTCTGGGGGAGAGTATTGCAAGAGTAAATAGTGTATTGACTGTTTATGATTTTTCATGTGTGTTTCTATTGTTTATTGGTATGCTTCATTCTTTGGGAAGAAACCATTTGTGTTTGAAGTTTCCATTTCAAATGGATTTGAAGTATATGATTTATAAAATATCCTATATGTTGATACTCCATGGTGATCTTTGAAATTGAAAGAGGTGAAAGTGTGGAATATGAAATATGGCCATCGTGCCAGAAATAAAGAATCTTGTGAATGGCCTAATGAGCCAAGGAAATATTGTCGTTGTGAATGACTGGAAATATTAATGAGAATTCATACAATGTGAAAGATGTTGAGGTGAGTACAATTTTATTTATGATATTTCTATTTGCAAATCAAATCAAAACTATTTTTGGGAGCATCATTAGCAATACCGAGGAAGGGTGGGTCATAAGGCCCACACCTGAAACTACACGTGCCGGTGTAGGGGTGGATTGTGATATTATTCCCCTTAATTGGGATGAAACTGGAACCTTTGTGGATTGGAAAAGTCAACCCGCACGGCATATGTGGGAAGGCGGCCTAGCTGATCGGGTGGAGATCAGACGCCATATTGCGCATATGGTGGTACTACTCTTGGTAACAACTTTCTTTCGCATCACATGTCAAACCACATTGTTCGTGGGGAGATGGCCTAGCCGATCGGGCGTGATCGGACTCCGTGCTAACAAAGACGGTGGTATATCGGTGCTAATGATCTCCCAACCAAAATTATATATGAAGTTCGTATTTTGAAAATTATTATGTTTTAACTGGACGTTTGGATATTGTTGATTGTGACTTGCTGTTTCTATGTGTTGCCTTTTCTTATATGGGCATTCTATTTTGAAAGAGGATTTTTAGCTATACATACTAGTGTTATTCGACAGTAATAACGTCCCTTTTGCCGGGGGCGCTGTCTTTAATGGATGCAGGTGATTCTTCAGCAAGCGGCATTGATCAGTGATAGCAGTACACTCTTTTCAGCTGATTTGGTGAGCCCCACTTCATTTCGGGGTCATGTATCTTTTGCTTCTCATGTACAGTATTTTGAGGTATAGCCGGGGCCTTGTTGCCTGCATTTCCATATTACTTTTCTATTGCATTTAGAGGCTCTGTAGACAGGTTGTGGGTTATGGTTGATGTTGGAAATTGAATTAGAAATGTTGGTACTTGGAAATTATATTATTCATTAATTCTATAAACTCGTAATGTTTTGGAAATTATGAATGAAGCTACTAATGGGAATGAAAAGGAAGTTGTTAATAAAATCTTTTCAGTGATTGATTAATGGAGTACATCTCCTCTTTATTCATGGATGAGTTTGGGTAGAAGTAAGTCTAATATGCTTGCCCGGCTGGGTTCTCTCAGTTGAGCGTCGGTCGCGCTCCCTGAGTTTGGGGCGTGACAGCCGACCTCCGAGGGCTCACGGAGGAGAGAAATGCCCTTAAACTTGTCAGTGGGCAAAAAGAAGAGGAGATCAAGGACCTTCGAGTCGAGTTGGCCAAGGCTCACCAAGATCAGACCTACCTGATCGAGCAGGTAATGAAAATCTTAAAAGCTCATGGGCTTGATTCGGTAACGATGGATAACATTTCAATCTCACAGCTGCAGCAAAAGGTCGAGAGGATCGAGCAGTTCTGCGAGGAGGTCAACATGATGAAGGCGGAGACCTTGGGGTGGAAAGAAAGTATGGACCGTTTTGCTGTTAAAAAAGAGGTTGCTCGAGCCCAATTGTCAGCGATCGAAAGTCAGCTTCTAGGCATGAAGGAGAAGATCCCAGCTCAGGCAAAGAAAATAGAGGAGCTCGAGGCTCGGTTGTCTTCCGAACTTGCAAAGGCCAAATCTGAAGCCGAAAAGGCAAAGGACGAGGCATAGGCAATTGAGGCCGTCTACCGGACTGATGCTGAATCCGCTCAAGTTCAAGCGAGAGAGGCAGCCGAGACCGCTCAAAATCGAGCACATTGGATTGCTGAACTCGCCAAATGCCAATCTCTAAGGGAAACCCTCGAGGAGATCTATCTCGAGGTTTCGATCTTACCGACGAGATAATAAAGGCTAAAGAGCATAAAGTTGATGCTAGAGCGCTGGCCTTTTCCGATGATGATGATGGCAGCAAGAGCGGGTCCGAGAATGGGGAGGACATCGATGGAGAAGAAGTTGCCCATAAGGAAAATTAGGAATCTTAGGCTTTTTCTTTTTTGATTATTTGTGCGGGACCCTGATCGGTCCTTGTAAATATTTTCGTATAGATAAAAGATCTTTTTTCTCTTTGACTTATCTTTATTTTATTTCCTGCCTCGTGAAACTTCTATTTCATTCATGCATTCATGCCTTATGGAGATTTTGCTCACAAGTTTGGGACTTTAGGCAAGTAGACCGAAGTCGGATCAGTGTAGTCTTTAAAATCGAGTGAGTACTTGATCGAACTCGAAGTAGAGTTACCTTTAAGTTTTAGTTGAGTAAGGACGATTTCTCGAACTCAAAAAATAAAATGGCCTTTAGGCTCTTGAATTAGGCCGATATGGCCTCAAAAGAATGGCTTTTCCCCCTCGTCTTGAAAAATTAATCATAAAAATTTGTCATGCCTTAGCACGAGATAAATTTGTACCCATTAGGTTTTTCGAGGATTGGTGTTATCGAAATCCTTTGCTTTGTTATGCCTTAGCACAAAATTGTCCGGGAGTTCGAACAATTCGCTACCCCTTAGGGTTTTTTGAGGGTCGATATTATCGAGACCCTTAGTAATTCAGCCGAGGGTTGCCTTTTTTAATCGGTTTATGAGAATATTTGAAGGCCTGTTTTATAACGGAATTCGAACATCTCCGAACCGTGTTAATTTGGCCGTAGCCTTTAGTTTGGGATTTGCCCCTTAGGCTTGTTTTCCTGCTATACTTCGAACTCGTTCGAAGTGTCAGTCCTCGAGTGAGGTGGTCGTGGCCTATAAAATCGAGGATTGCCTTTTTAAGGTCTTACGATTTCGAGGTTTAGTTATTCGATCATGTCGATTTTTTGGACGGCAGTCCCCGAGTATAGGGTAAATTATTTGAACTTCAGTTGTGATCTGCCCTTAAGCCAGTTTCCACAATAGATCATACGTATGAAATTGTAAAGTATAAATTTCTCTAAGTCAAGGAACATCTGGTAAGGAAAAATATTTCTTTCAATAGATTATACATGCGTACATGTTTTGCCATTAGGACTCGAGTAATCTACATGGACACGGTTCATTTGACCGTTTGGTCCTTTACCTATCGAGACCCTGTCGACATGAAGTATTTTCCTTGTAATTATCTGAGGGTGATACCCCCCAATATTCGAGGTTGATTGTAAAGGAGCCTCGGATACTGTTGAATTGCTCTAAGTTAGCACGAACAATGGTTGCCTAGTAAAAAACCTCGTCGAAAAAACACATTTAGGACAAAAACCGGTCTAAGGGAAAAAGAGTGCAACGCGTGCTTTTAGTCCTAAGGACTATGTGTTTGAAGAATCCTTTGGTGTCTTCGATTAAACACCTGCAAATGGTTAGTATAAAATATAAACGAAAATGAGAAAAATAATTTTCTCAATTTTTGGACATTCCAAACACGGGTTGAGGCAATATTTGAGCGAGAAATCACGGGAAATCTTGAGGTAAGTCACTTGTGATCATTTCTACTCCATAATATTGAATTATCATTGAATAATCCGACTAGATTACGTATTTTTGAGGTGTAAATCGGGGATTTGAAAATAAGATTTGAAGATTTGGAGGTCGAGTTGAGGTCGGATTTAGTAAAATTATTATGGTTAGACTCGTGGTTGAATGGGCTTCCGTATTTTTTAACCTTTGTCGGGTTCCAAGATGTGGGCCCCACGGGTGATTTTTGGATGAAATTTCGGAATTTTATGGAAAATTTGTATTTTCATATGGAATTAACTCCTACAATTTTTATTAACTGAATCGAATTATTTGTGGCTATATTCAAGGCATTTGGAGGCCAATTCACGAGGCAAAGGCATAGCGGAATAATGAATTACACGGTTTGAGGTAAGTAACAGTTCTAAATTTGGTCATGCAGGTATGAAACCCCGGATTATGTATTATGTGATTGATTTTGAGGTGACGCACATGTTAGGTGACGGGCGTGTGGGCGTTCACCGTAGCAATTATAACTTGGTCAACTCCATGGAACTGTGTAGTTGAAAAATCCGTTGATATCCGTATATTTTCCCCTTATTAGAGAAATTGATCTATGAATCATGTTTAAATCATATGTTTACAATGTTGGGACCCATAGAGGTCGT